ATAATTTTTTATTTAAAAGTGTGAATGTTATTATATATAACACATGTATGTAACAGTTATATTGTTGAGCGAGTATTATAATATATTGCTGTAACGTTACTTTTAAAATTGGTATTTATTGAATGTTCTTCCAGTAAACACTAACTATCAGTAACATAATATCAATGTTATAATTTCCTATTTAAGAATGTAATTGTTACATAAAACGCATTATATTCCATTTACATTGTTGAATGGGAAATTATAACATTAATGTTATGTTATTGTTAGTTGGTGTTTACTGGGTTTTTATATCTTTATCTGTGCATAAAGTGCATTATTATCCTTAAATTCATAAATAAAATATATATCTATGTTCACTTTTCAATAACATTACTTTAACACCTTTCTATATAGCAAAATAAGAGAAATCGAGTATAAAAGGAAATGATAGGAAATTATAATATTGATATTATGTTACTGATAGTTAATATTTACTGAAAGAATATTCATTAAACACCAACTTTAAAAGTAATGTTACAACACACACACACACATATATAATGTAGCGTTACTAATCACTGTGTTTGTTCCTGTTTCCCAATTAGCACAATAAATTCATTAAGTGTTCCTGAAGTTTTCTCCTTTCTGATGTCAGTTTGAGCACAGATTTCTATGAAAATAGTATGTACAAATGATATCATGTGCTATATGGGTACTGAAAATAAAAGGATACGATTAGGAATGGACAGATTTATTATTTATCTTTTTATTCATTTATTCTCTTACTCATATATTCATCTTGTCTTTCCATCTCGCTTTCTTGTGGTTTTTTACCATCTTATTATTTATCTTCACTTTTTTGTTTCCTCTTCATTTCTTCTCGCACATTCTCTCTTTTCTCTCTTTCCTTTTTTCTCCTTTTCTTTTTCTTCCTCTTTTATCTTCTTATTATTTAATTTAGCTATAAAAAGTAAAAACGACACAAGGTATTCAAATTTTACATCGTTACATATTTTTATTTTTATACATTTGCCGATACTTATCTGATATTATCCTTGTTAATTCCATAGCTTTTCTTCAAAATTATTACGACAAATACACTTTGCAACTTTTAAAACTATTATACATTAAAAATATAACCTCGTTATAACTCCATTCTCGTACGCATGAACTGTCACTCGACTCTGTCGCGATGACAGTTACAAGTCGGTAAATCGATAATCGCAACACTCTCGCTATCCCGCCATCTAACGGAGAAGATATGTCAATGGAGATTTCTATGATGAGGAGACGTTTCTCACGCGTAACTTCACGATTTCAGACTTTGAGCTAAGATAGCTCAGCTTCTGGAGCACATAGAGCAAAAATGAAGGCAGTTTTATGATATAATGTAAATCCAAATATGTTATTGTTAGTTGGTGTTTACTGGGTTTGTACATCTTTATCTGTGCATAAAGTGCATTATTATCCTTGAATTCATAAATAAAATATATGTCTATGTTCACTTTTCAATAACATTACTTTAACACCTTTCTATATAACAAAATAAGAGAAATCGAATATGAAAGGAAATGATAGGAAATTATAATATTGATATTATGTTACTGATAGTTAATATTTACTGAAAGAATATTCATTAAACACCAACTTTAAAAGTATCGATTAAGTCCCTCCAGAACTTCGTCAATTCAATCGTTATAATCAAAACGAAAATCTAGCCTACATTCAACTAAAGCCGTCGCGTAATTATACACGGTAGGCCGCCAATGCTTCGCGCTTGCACTTGGCTTCGCGACACTACCGTGTTTCATTACTAGTACTTTTGAATAAGGGTAAAATTTTTATATAATAGTTACGTTAAAATTACTTCCACGTTATACATGGTGACTCATAATTGTAACACACTAACTCCATAGGGACGTATAGCTAAACAAGAGGATCAGAAAAGTCCTCTTCCATTTTGCGATAACGCATCTAGTTTATTAGTAACAACCGCGTAAAGTTTGACGTTTGTCACGCCCATCGCAGCCTATAGACGCTTCGCGATACGCTGTGTGCGTCGAGGCAGAGCGGTAACACGGTGCGTTTATCGTCGTCTCGCTGCGCGTCGACAGCGTTAAAGCGTCAAAACACCATCGCGGCGGTCAGCGCAAGCCACGTTCCGCCTGCCTCGACGCACACAGCTCGTCGCGGAGTGTCTGTAGGCCGCGATGAGCGTGACAAATGCCAAACTTTACGCGGTTGTTACTAATAAACTAGACGCGTTATCGTAAAATGGAAGAGGACTTTTCTGATCTTCTCGTTTAGCTGTACGCCCTTATGGAGTTGGTGTGTTACAATTATGAGACACCCTGTATAACACGTGATATTGAGATTCATAGTTGTTATATAGTAGCTATATAATTGTGTTGATTGGGATTTTAGTTTCTTTTATTCAATTCAAAACTTTAAGTTAGATGCGGAAGATATCGATTAATCGATTTCAATTTTTTTATGGATGATACTAGTATCCACAACTTTTCCGCACTAGAGCAGTTATGCATTAAAAAAAAAAATTTTTTTTTGCTCCACTCTAATATATATCTTTCAACGAATTTATTTCTATTATTATTTTAATCATCCTCGAATAAATCTAATAATGTTAACGTTTTTACAAATGCGATAGACATTAATTTTTTTTTGTTCTCCATCTTGTCACTTACGATTGCTTACAAGTGTCAAGTGGAACGCTTTATTTCGCTTTATTTCATGTGAGTATTTATGAAGCAAATGGAACGAAAATAGCGCTTATAAGCATAAGCGTTCACAACGTGTAAGCCTCCAAATGGAATGTACTCATCGAACGTCCAACATCCGATGTATGACGACCGATATCTAATAGATGTAAGAGTCGGAGAGAAAAGTATATCGGAAGCCCCCCGGCCCCCCTGGGCCGGGACTCGAACCCGGGTCTTTCGCTTGCCGGCGACTGCTCTAAACCACTGAGCTACCCAGGCTCCCGCTCCAACACACTCTTTCGTCTTCTTATATTGATGTTATTGTCAAGATGCCACGTGTTACCTCAGTTCGGCTTATATCCTACATAGGAAAATTAGTTTTCTGAGGATAAAAATGTTGTCTAGAAACTCTAACAAACAAATTCTACTATTGGATATCGAATCGTCGTATGTTGAATGTAAGTCCCACAGAAGACTAACATGTCATTAGTCATACAAGTTTGTCAGATGCATCAATTAGCTGTAAGGTAGAGAATTTCTAGGGTATCCGGAGAAAAAATGTTAGAGACTTTAAAATGCTCTGTTTGATAGTCAATTAATATATACATCAAACAGTACTAATCATACACCAAACGAAATTTTAGCTTAAATCTACATATCCGACGTTCGATACATGACAATCGAATATTCAATAGTAGAGTTTGTTTCTTAAAGTTTCTAGTTAGCAACGTTTTTATTCCCAAAAAAGTAATGCAGAATTCACACTATATCCGATATTCGTCATATAACGATACAATATCTAGTATTATAGTTTGTTTCCTAGAATTTTTAGCTAGCAGCTCATTTTTCTTTCCAGAAAACTGATTCTCCTATTGGATATCGGACGTTGTACCAGGTCTGTAAATATGAAACCGGAATTTGCCCATAGATGGCCCTAGCTGTCAATGTAGTTACCGTCAAACCGCGTCATTGGCGCCAATTCCTTGTTGACATCTCTGACAAATATTTTCAACTCACAACAATACAAGTTTCATGCAACAGCATAGCTTGTTATAGCGTTGAACATGTCGAATTTTGTGCCTGGAAACTACGATTTGCGGACAGCATTGATTTTCTGTTACCATTTGAAGAAAACTGCTGCAGAATCGCATCGAATGCTTGTCGAAGCTTACGGTGAGCATGCTCTTGGTAAATCACAGTGCTTTGAGTGGTTTAAAAAATTCAAAAGTGGCGATTTTGACGTGAGAAACGAAGAACGTGGAAGACCACCGAAAAAGTTTGAAGACAGCGAATTGCAAGCATTGTTGGATGAGGATGACACTCAAACGCAACAACAACTCGCGGATCAATTAAATGTGACACGAGAAGCCGTCTCCATACGTTTGAAAGCCATGGGAAAGATCCAGAAGATGGGAAAATGGGTTCCACATGAACTGAATGAAAGACAGCAGGAAAACCGAAAAACCACTTGCGAAATGCTGCTCGCCAGGTACAAAAGAAAGTCATTTCTCCATCGAATTGTGACTGGCGATGAAAAGTGGATATATTTTGAGAATCCTAAGCGTAAAAGATCATGGGTAACTCCAGGCGAACTATCGACATCGACTGCAAGGCCAAATCGCTATGGACGGAAGACAATGCTCTGTGTTTGGTGGGATCAGAAGGGTGTGATCTATTATGAGCTGCTAAAACCTGGCCAAATCGTTAATACTGAACGCCACAACAAATGACCGATTTGAATCAAGCTTTGCGTGAAAAACAACCAGAATATAAAAAAAGCAACATAAAGTGATTTTGCTTCATGATAATGCGCCATCACACACAGCAAAACTGGTCAAGGAAACGATTGAGGCGTTTAGTTGGGAAATACTTTCGCATGCGGCTTACTCACCAGACTTGGCTCCGTTCGATTACTATTTATTTATTTGCATCGATGGGACACGCACTTGCTAAGCAGCGCTTCACTTCTTACGAAAATGTACGAAATTGGCTCGATGCCTCAAAAGAGCAACAGTTTTTTTTTGGCGTGGCATCCACAAATTGTCAGACAGATGGGAAAAATGTATAGCTAGCGAGGGGCAATACTTCGAATAAAATATTTTTTATCATTTTCATACAATAAACGTATTTTCTATACAAAAATTCCGGTTTCATATTTACATACCTGGTATGTCGGATGCAGTGTAAATTTTGCATAACTTTCTATCCCACAGTGTATTAAAGTCCTTGAATCCTCGTCAGAGCCGATTTAACATACGTCATTAATTAACGTATGCCTAAAATTCTTGCGAAATATATAAGAATAAAATTACATAATCGATCGAACAAATATGTAAAATAGTCCAAACGTTTTCTTTTACTCAGCAATAAAAAATTGTAAAATTAACATAATAGAAATCATGTATGAAACTCTTTTTATTATTCAAATAACTAACAAAGTTTTTAAGGTCAATGAGGAACGAACACGGATGTTGTAGTGTTATATTAATATTACCATCGTGTAATATTAAAGTTTTTTGGTGGAAGAATAAAATTTTCCAGTGTATGAGACGTATGTCCGAATTTTTCTTCGGTAATGGTATGCGAATCAACCTTCCACGCTTAGACCGATCCTGTATCCCAGTATTAAGGCTCTGCTATTTCTCAGGCGGCCATATTGGTTTGATGACGTCAGAAGCGCGAAATAACATACCGCAAGTTCCTTACGTTTTATTGTTTTATTTTTTACGTTTCCCTGAAGAACCAAATATTTTCCTAATCCTGAAACCTGTAAAAAGTACAGCAAACTCAGATATCTGGCTGATATATCACGTAGCATCGTAAAATAATTCCTGAAATAATGCTACATTTTTCGGTTGTCACGGTGGTTTGCGACAGCATGTATGAACACATTGAATTTCTCGATTTTCACAATATATCATCAGTATCACTAAGTTTGCTGCACATTTTACGGCTGTAAGAAACACGATAATATATACTTCATATACTTATATATACTTCACTATATATATACTTCACGGAGAAACTGCAAAATAACGTGATAAAATGCAACTAATTTTCCGAAGTATCAAGCGAGGCCTAGCATGAGCCTGGCCTAGTGTTAGCCAATCAGCTACGCTGACACAATTATTTCATGTTCTCGACACTGCTAGGCACCACCGTCAACAATTCAGACTTTCTGCGGCGAGATAGCAGAGCCTTAATATAATACTATAACATCAGTGTTCGTTCCTCATTGGCTTTAAAAACTTTGTTAGTTATTTAACATAAAAGAATCATGATTAAACATATTAAAAAGGTAAATTGCGTGTCACGTTAATTTTACAGTAATTTAATAATTATTAGAGTAAAAAGTTATTTGGACTATTTTATAGATCTGTCTAATAAATTTCAAGTATCATTTTATGATATATATGGCATATTTATGGACACATCTTTTTATTTGCACATATTTTTTTAAGAATTTTGAACATGAATTTCCTTACTTCTGATGTTATTAATAAAAAAAAGTCAAGGGATTAAGAGTCTTAAGACTGGCAATATACAGGTTAATTCATATAATGACTAACTTAATTATTAGCAAATTATAAAGACATGGAAAAAAAGGTTCATACAGGAATGTTTAGTACATAAAGACATTATATAATGGAAACGATTACTTTATAAATGAGGAGGTTAAGGACATTAGAAGATCAATTTTGTTTTTTCCAATAGTACTATATAAATCTTTTTAATATAATTTGATTTTTTAAATTATTCTGCATATAAAAGTACTGCAGGTAAGATGATAATCATCAAATATTTTGCGAGATATTTTATATTTTATCTTTTATATTTCAGCATAAACTATGAAATATTAAAGTAATCACTTTTCAATAACTTTACCTTAATATTTTTGTGTATAGAATGATGGGTGGAATCGATTGTTGTAAACAAAACAGAGGAATATTTAAAAAGTTCTATTGCATTTTACATATACATTGATGCACTACATATGTACAAACATTAGTATCATTAATCATTTCTTCTCAATATTTCATGTACAAAAATATTAAAGTGAGATTATCAAAAAGTAGATACTTTATACCAGATATTTTAAATCTTATGCTAAAAAACATCAAGATAAAATGTATAATATTTTGGAAATAATTATACATTTTTCTATAATTCTCTCTTCTTCCTAAATATTTTTATAGAAAAATTTAAGAAATCAACTTATGTTAAAAAAAATTCATATTATTTCATTGAAAAAATCACAGTTGGCCATCAAATGTCCTTAACATGTAACATAACCATCAATCGTATTAATTATATGATATTGCTTTCAATACTTAACATATTTATATTAACCATTTTTCTATATATCTTCTTAATTTGGTAAAGATTACATTAATCACTTTATAAAAATTATGCTGTATATATCTATAATAAATAATAATATAAAATTCAACTCTATAAAATTCAATGATGATTATTTGCTACATTTTAAAATATAAGGTGTAGTAAAAAGAAATCCATTAGTTTTCCAATAGATGGCTTTAGTAATGTGTA